AGTGGCGCATCTTGCATTTTTCTCTCATGTGGCCAGGTGTTTGCTTAAGTATATTTCTTCACAGAATGATTGCCGACCATTAAGAATGACCTCCCTCTGGCTTCCAGGACTGTCATCCTAGGGGCATGAGTTTCAGTGAGAAGACTTTCAGTGAGTCAGAGATAGGGAGACAGCCCTTACTGTAACCCAGGCTTAGGACTTGCTTTATAGTAAGAAGCAAAACTAGAATTTCACCCGGTAGCAAGCAGCAGGAGCTCTTGTCAGCTCATCTTAGCAGGTGGGGCAGCGGCACTCCAGTCACATGCTGCAGTGGTCCAACTTAGGCATTGTTGAGATGTGAATGGCTAAGGTGAGAACTGTATGTAATTGCATAAGGACAGTCACTTTGCAGAAAATGCCGGTTTGGTGATGAACAAAACAGCTCTGGAGTCAAGGAGCAGTGATATGCCTGGTAAGAAGGTCCAGATTGTGATAACTGGGCAGACACTGCCAGCTGAAGGAACGCTTATAGACTTCATCAGGTCCTCCAGGTACTTCTCCCTGCCAATGAGCACATCAGCTCCAGGTTGTCTGAGGGTGCGATGCAGTTGGCTGATATTTCATACAGACCCATTTCTACCAGACCTCGGGGAGCCAGGACATAGTAGGTCTGATGACAAGGAGACAAAGAGCTGGCTGTCATCAGTGTGCTCGGGATGCTGCAACCTATAGCACCTCACAACCTGATCTAGCAATTTTCCGCAGGCAATGAGGAGAAGAGGCGACAGGCCTAAGAGCAGTTGAAGAGAAAGACAGGATACCCACCCCCGGGAATGACCAGAAAGGAATAAGCAAAACCACGCTAAGGGTGTCCCATCTAGTGCGGCTCGTCTCAGCACGTTTGTGACTGACTGCATTAAAGGCTGTTGAACAAGTGAGAATCTCTCTGTCAGGGTCTCTGTCCCTCGCCCTGATGAAATTTGGAAAAAAAAGAGCATTAAGACATTCCATGTCCGTTGGCACTTTCTAAATTACCTTTCTCAGTAAAGAGCAGCAGGGGAAAAGCTGAGAGCTAACTGGATGAGACATTCATTCTTAGAGTTAATTTCTTAGTGCCTCGACTCTAACTTGTCTTAGGGTTTTCCACAAGTTGCTCTCTCTAGAGAGCAGACAGACAGTCTCTTTCAGAATGGCATATGTCACTCGAACATAATGTGAACAGAATCCGATGCTGAGAATACAGCAACGTACGCTCATATCAAAGTTTCACAAGGAAAAAGGGCATCTATTGCTCTAGAGCACCTGGAAGAGACTTGCTTTTCCATGCAGCTGGGGATATTCAAGGTCACCAATAAGCCTAACGAGAAGTCTGAAAATGCAGTCTCTTCAGTGGTAAAAAGTAAACAACGAATTAGCAATGCCAGCCACTCCCGCAGTATGATTTTTTTCACTGACAAATGTACCAAAAACTTAAGGTGAAAGCTGTACTTAACCTGGCTCGTATGTACCTTATGGCATAATGACCGTAAAAATCGACTCAAACAGTGTTGGGTAGTGTTTACAGCCCCACATAAATGGATTTTATAGTGGGAGCATGGCTGAGACACAATCCAGAATCTGAGTTTTTGCTGCACATGATATCTTGGGAGCTATTACAATTACCACCATAGTGGGGATCCAGCTTCCAGAAATCGGCATTTAAGCAGCTCTGTATTCCACAGTTCAATGCGAATGCACTGGGCCAGGGGCTGATAAAAGGGAAAACTTAAAATATTCTACTCTAGGGAAAGCTACAAACCTTGAAGTTCTTATAGAACCATCTCAATTTCCTCTTGTAAAGGGCTTCCAAGTATCATAAGCTCTTCCAAATGTTATAAGCTCCAAATGAAAAACAGTTCAAACCCATTAAAGCGTTGTGTTTACATGAGTTGATTTCTAGGTTTTTATATCTCTTAGGAATCGTAAGAGGTAATCCTGAAATTCACCCATATTTTCACCAAGTTGAGGAAGCATTTGGCATCACCTGATGTGAGACCATGTCCTAGCATCCTGAGCACAGGCCTAGAGGCAAGAGAAATGTTACTGCTTCTTCTAGACTCACTTTGTGGCTTAGGAAAGGCATTTAATTTCTCAGTCTCCATTGCCTCATAGAACAAGGATGATAATAATTAAAGAGGAAGTGTGAAGGTTCATTAATTAATACTGGGTAACACTTCTGATTTTCTCTGCACTGGCAATACAATAATATGAGATCACATTTTCAAAAAACAGGAGCCTGGATGTCTTCAAAATGATAACGACCTCCAAATTTGCTTCACGCGCTACTTTTATTGTTATAATTGCTGCTTTATTATTGATTTTCTGCCACCTCTGACACAAGCGCTCTGAAAGGAACTGTCTTTCATCTTACCAATTGTTGTGCCTGTAGATTAACCACATCTTAGTTATGCGTCTGATTTCCCCCCCATTGTTTTCACTTGAAGTGATCGTGTCACTCAAGAGTCTCCGCTCAGATTTCCTTGCCACAGGCCCATCTCAATGCTCCCTGACACGATATTGAGATGTCACTGTCTGTGCGACTGAAGGTTTCAAGACAGATTCCCATCTCGGTTACAACAGTGCAAACTCAGAGTAATTCCACTGAAACCAGGAGCCACGCTAGAATTACACTGAGAACTAAACCTGGCACATCGTCATTAATTTGGAAGGGACTCTCAAAGCTGCCATATGCTGTAACATTCACGTTAGGTTTTACAATTCTGACAATGCCCTGTATCCGCACAGGCTGAGGTGAACTACTACAGCACACGAGCGCTTTATTGCTGCCCTGATAAAAGGATTTCTCAGCTGATGTGCTAATATTTGCATCTCCCTCCTTCAGTGAATTACTTTGTCAAGAGGATTAAGACAGAAGTATGACTTATTCTCAGTATGATACAATTCGAATCACCTCTTATTGGCAAGTGGTGCATGTCAATGAGTCAGCTTGGCTATATCTGTAGGTATGTTGCATTGCCTTAGATGATTATGAGATGGCTGTAAAATTTTAAACCAATTTTAATCTCCACACACGGTGAAGAAGCTGGGCAGAAAAACTTCACGTTGTTCAGAGGGAGGGAATTATGCTATAAAGAACTGGGCTCTATAGTAGAGGACAGAGTCTCTTAAAACTATGGTTTCTTGGAGTCTGTGCTTCTGTTACTGGACTGCTTTAATGCAATCTGAAATAATGCTTTTGTCAATTTGCCCTCTTCCTATTAAAAATATAATGAAACTTTTTAGATAATGCCACCCACTGTTTAGGCACCACAGGGCTGGAAACCTTCAGGGACAATGTGTGATGTAAGCTGTGCATACATTTCTAGCAGCGACCCACATGAAAAACCAGTGTTGGATAAAATACAGATTGTCCCGGTTTAATGACGACGACGAAAACTAGCACTTCCACAGATGCAGCTACCCAGCCTGCTGTGTCAGTACTACGTAATGGATCATCAGACCCCCCTAGTGTGTTGCATTGCATTACATTACAGGATTGCAAAGGACGTTTGTCGTCATTTTAAGGAGAGGTGAGAAAGGAGATCCATCCAGACCTTTTCTTTCCTCTTCTCAGCTCTCCTTCCACCCCACCTATAAGAACCTGAGGCACATCTAAACCTGGAGCATCATCTTTCATTTGGAAACACTGGCTTTAGATTGTTAGGAATCAAGGATCATCAAATTCAATTCCTTTGCTACCGATCGTTATAATCCCCAGATGGCTGTCTCCTGTTGGGACACCGGTGGCAAGATGTTGAGAAGGGATCAGAGGGGAGAAATCAAAGAATCATAGAAGTAGGCCTAGAAGGGACCTCCAGGGGGTCTAGTCCAGCATTTCTCAAACCATGGGTCGCAACCCAAAAGTGGGTCGCAAGAATATATGAAAGGGTCACAAACAAACTTTAAAAATGGATTCTCCTTGAAAGGTGAAAAACATGGGAAGCCATGAGTTTTCCCCCACAGGCCGACAGAGCTCCAGCTTGCAGGGGGCTGCCTGGCCCCACACAGCGGGCGGCTGAGGCCTGGGGGCACGAGCCGTGGATTGGGAGTGAGGGGCATGGGGCTGTTTTCTACTTAAACCATTTCCTAGGTTGGGACCGGCCATCCATGGTTACAAATGGGTCCCAGTACAAAAAAAGGCTGAGAACCACTGATCTAGTCCAACCTCCACCCCAGGCAGGATCAGCCCTGTCCAAACCATCCCATGCAATCCATCATCTAAACTCCGAACAAGAGGACCGTCGACCCTGGCAGAGCACAGACCCGACACCCAGCGTCCTGCTCCGAAGAAACACTGTCAGCACAGGCCGGGTAGGGGGCCACAGGTCCTGGGTAGAGGGCCACCCCCACCCCTACCCCTCTAGTTAGGCAAAAACCCCACAGTCCCTACCCATCTGACCAGAGAGTAAAATACTTTCCTGCCCCCAAATCTGGCCACCGGTCAGTGGGATTGGCCGCCGGGGGACTGGTGTCAGGGGGGCTCCCAAGACCGCCCGTGCCCTCTTTGGTCCCAGCCCCAGGAAAGCGGCAGCCTTAGGGCAGGGCAACCCAGGGCCCCACGCTTTAGGGTCCCGAAAACTTTGCGACAGATATGCACCTGGCTTACAGGCCCTCAGAATCAAGCCTGGACGCATGGCGCCAGGCGAGGCCCTAGAAACAATCCGAGGTGTGTCTATTTGTGTGTCAGTCACACGCCAGGGGCCCCATTCGGAGATTTCTCCTCCCCCCCAGTCTCCTGAAGCTAACACTGGACGCCGAGCCCGCGTCTCTGCCGCTCAGAGCCCCCCCCACGTCAACGCAGCTCAGGCTCGCAAGGGCTGCCGCGCTCCCAGCACGGAGGGAAGGCGCTGCCTCCCGCCGCCGCCGCGGGGACGAGGATCCCCCGCGGGTGGCACGTGGAGGGCGGGAGGCGCAGGCAGGTGCGCCCCGC